GAATTCTGACATCAGTAATGGAGGTTCTTAGCTACTGGTGACTTGGTGCTATGGTTGTTATGATCTAGCAGGTTTGGGGGGGTGTTTTGATTTTTTAATGTTACGTGAACTTGAATAACAGAACCACCATTTTTTTAAGAACATAACAAGTTTTGCCTTGTCATTTAAGTGTTTTCATCAAGTTACAGTCCTGCTTACAAATCTGTCTTCAGCTGATGAATGCTTGATTACAGAAAAAATCTAGGAGAACTTTGCATGAACTTTTAGTGAAGGGATGTAGCTGACTGAACTATCTGCTTTGTCTGGCAATCTTTAGACCCTGCAGAATGTCACAATACCACCTTTAGAAAACTGCACATCTCCTGAACTTTGCTGGACTGAAGGAAACTTGACGTGGACCATCAAAAATGTATCTGAAACAGAATATATTAGCAAATGTAAGTAGTAGAACTACTCCTTTGGTAGTGTCTTTATTGAGTTATGCAACTTTTTAATGGCATTAATAGAGCATTTCACAGGTAGTACGCATGCTTATGTATTTATATGCGGGACAACTGCACGTGCGGTCAGAGCAGCCTGTGCTCTGTTATAGTTATACAGCTGGAGTTACTGGGACCATCACTGGATCTGGCTGCACATGGGTCTCTCTTCATGCTCCTTCATATCAGTAACTGAGGTCTTCAGTACCATGTCGCCCTTGCTGTTCAGGTGACTTGGCGCTATGGCTACTTTGCAGTAGCGGTTTCTTGGCTGTCTCTATCCCCATCTGTGCCATTGAGGACTTTCAGCAGCCGTTCACAGGTGCGCAGCCATCTCTGGGGAAGAGCTGACTCATTAACCCAGCTGGGAGCCCACCAAGATTTCCTCACACCTTTGTATTCCCCTCCCTTGCACAAAGCTGCTCAAGGTCACCCAGCTTCTGCCTGTCCTATGCATGTGCCCACTGTGTATTTTATAAACATATTTTATAATTTTATATTTATAGAAGAGCTGCTGTTGCCCCTCTCAGACATAGCTTTTATGCAGCCAGGGAGGCAGCATTTTCATTCCTTTCATCGTCCCCTCAAGCTGTGTGTACTTTGGACTCACGTTCGTAGGGGAGTGTGTGAAAACGAGCTGGGCTTGGGGTCAGAAGCAGGACTGTGGCTAGACTGATTCCTTTTACTTTTCTTTTTTAGGCCACCATCTCTTTGCAGAAGCAAACCTGCCTGATCTTGCCATTGGTCTCATCCTTCTGGCTTTGTCCCTGCTCGTTCTGTGCTCCTGTTTGGTGATGATCGTTAAGCTATTAAACTCTGTGCTTAAAGGACAGGTGGCGAGCGTTATCAAGAAGACAATCAACACTGGTAATTATTTGCTTTCCCTGAAGATTGTGTTCAGGAATGACAAGGACATTGAGCACATTTATTGCCATCATGTGTGCTGGCAGATATAGCATAGTTTGAGGAAAGCAGTATTAAATCAAAATATCCCCCTCCCCTTCAAACATTTCTTCTCCCCCTCAGCATGTTATTTCCTTTCTCTTTACAATCTATTAGTTAACAGCTTGCTTCTGAATGGGAGCAGTTTAACAGCAATAGACACCAAAGTCCAGGCTCTCTTTCCTTATGTATAATCATCAGCTGTTAGAAATGTAATGTTCACATCCTGAAAAGAGAGCGATGAAGTGCTGAGATAGTGATTGCTTGATGTGGCACAAGGCCTACAAGTTTCTTCTAGAGTAAGCTGGAAAAAAAAAGTTTTTAGCGGTTAATGGTCTAATTTCCTTTACTTGCCCCGTTTCATTCTTTAACCCTCTCTTTAGTAACATATGGCAGCCAAAAGAGCCCTTTTTTGACTGAATGGTGGTACTTCCTGTGTGTCTCTGTGTTATTCAGGTGATTTTCCCTATTGGAATCATTTTGTGCAAACCCTTTTTTTCACTCAGCTGCCTCTTCTTCCTTCTGCCTTGAGTGAAGGGAGAGGTTAGAACCTGTAGCAGGGAAAAGCAGTCCTGGTGTATATCTGATTGTGGTAAAAGAGAGGGCTCACAGAAATGGAGAAGGCAATAAAGTGGTCCCCATTCTGTCTTCTCTTCTCCGGGCAAAAACCACTGACTAAATCAAAACAGAGGGGTAGAAAGTAATCAGTTGCCAGCTACTATTTATTTGTGATCTACTTAATGTTCCTTTTTGTCTTCCCAGCTGATTAAGTCCTAACTTCTTAGCTCACTTGTAAATCTGCAGACCACCAAGTTTCTCTAAGCAGTGTGCTTAGTTTTTTCTTGCAAGAGTAACAAGTGAATTTTTAGGTGATCAACCTGAAACTAATTAGAACAAATAACCTGATTTTTGCAGGATGGGTCTTCAGTGTTTTCTGAAGATCAGATTGATGTAGCGGATGCCTGGTTGCCAAAACCAAGACACCCTAGACGCTTAGAAGCCATGGAAACGTTTCTGGTTTTTGATTGTATTAGAACATTTAGCATTTAATGCTACACTGGATGAGGACAAAGGTATACCAAGTCTAGTATTCATCTCAAAGTTTGTCCAGTGGTGGAAGTCTGGGAAGAGACTACAAAGAATAGGGTATATTTAGAGCAGTAGAACCAACTGTAACCCAAAATCTTGGTGTATGAGAAAATATACAAACAATATATTTACATTTTAAATGCTTAATAATGTTTTCACTGCTATGCTACACAGAGCATTGTGTTCTTCTAAAGATAATGTCCTCTCTGTTTTTTTCAGATTTCCCATTTCCTTTTACTTGGCTAGCTGGATACTTGGCTATGCTTGCAGGGGCTGGGATGACCTTCGTTGTCCAAAGTAGTTCTGTTTTCACATCTGCTATTACACCTCTTGTTGGTAAGACAACAAGACACCATTGTATTCTTCATCCTCATGTTTAATCTTCTTCATCATTGCAAAACCACTCAAACATGTTTTTTTCTCCTAGGCATTGGTGTTATAAGCATTGAGCGTTCTTATCCCCTTACCTTAGGAGCTAATATTGGTACAACCACAACAGCTATACTTGCAGCTTTAGCAAGCCCAGGAAGTACATTAAAATATTCATTACAGGTCAGTATAAACCAATGCTTCCTTGACCTCATTTAGAAATTGCAACCTTTCTGAATAAAAACCTGATAAAATTAGCTCTAGTGCAAATATCCTACGTTGGAACATGGATATTGCGCTTGATTTTGTGTGTACTGTTAATGACAGCTCATTGATTCTAACAACTAGAGCAAAAAGGTTTCATTAAACCTTCCCAGAATGTTGATATATAGCGAAATCTTACCTCCGTAAATTTGTCTTGATTTAAATTAATTCATTCAGAAATCAGACAAGGTTGGCCACTTGACCCCTGAGCATGGAGTATTTGCAGTTACGTTTCTGAACTCTCTCAGTAAACCCCCTATTTGGGTTGCTAATTTCTGTAAGTTCCCTTCTCGTATCCTAACTCTGTTTATGCTGTGTACAGGGACTCTGGTCATTTAAGTGAAGATTGTAAACCACAAGATGGCAAGATGTTGCAGTGAGAACAGGGACATCTTTCTCACTGTAATTCTAATCGGAGTAGGTTTCTTTGAATTCCTTGTTGGCTCAGAAAAGTAGACAGCTTGGCCTTGGGCACCCATTTACCTTCTCTAAAGAACACTCCAGGTAGAAGGCAATGTTTGAATTAACCCTCTACATCGAAGAGTGCAGATAATTTAGTGTTCTTTATGAATAGAATGCATACTTTTTTTTTACCGGCCACAATGAAAGCTATTGACATACATGGAGAAGAGAAAGAAAATTATAGTAGTGATTTTATTGTCCTCAGGCAAGATAGAACAGATGTAATTATGAGACGATATTATCTTGATCAAGCTTGAATCTTGTGATAAGCAGCTATTTTTATAATGTACTTTAAAAATCAAAACTGTATACTTTAATGTTTACTTTAGTCTGATAACAAATATAGAAGGAAAATAAGATAATTGGAGAAGGCAACTTACTGTTTTGTTCACATATAATTATTTTTCCTGAGTGACTTTTGAAAGCTTGAGGAAGTAGGTGTCTCTTCACGCTTATTTTTTTATAAAGAAATTTGAAGTATATTAATCAGATGTTTATTAAAAGACCCAGAAAAAACTCACATTCCAAGAATATCTTCAGTGCTGTATAAACTTTTAGCTAATTTTTGGAAAATCCAGGTTTGTGCCATTAGCCATTTCTCAACAGCCTGAATGCAATATGTCATTTACATTTCCCATCTTTTGGTGGAAAACTTATGGATGCAGAACTCAGTAATGAACAGTTCTCACGTAGTTCTCCCGCCTTACTAACAACAGGCATGTTTCGTCATAGTTGTTTAGTTTGTCAGCTTTATTTCTGATGAACTCCTTTTCTTGTAGTTGAAAGCTGTGTTTTAAAACTTCTCCAATCCCAGGAGAGATGTTGTCCTCTTTAGACTTACCTTGTTTCCGGCTATTGAGTCCTGTTTGCAGGCAGTGGATCTGTACTGTGTATTACTGAATCTTTGCTCCACGCTAGGAAAGGCCTTGCAGTGAAATAGCCCTGAGATCAGGAACAAACAAAAGGGGAGGCAAGGGAAAGAAAAATATGGAGTCTTAGTACCACTGGAAGTTATTATTATGTGGGTAGGAGTTTTTAAAGGTATTTTAGCTACTGAGCTTCTCAAATGTTTTTGCTTCTAGATTGCCCTGTGCCACTTTTTCTTCAATGTCTCTGGGATTATTCTGTTTTACCCGCTGCCTTTTACCCGGCTACCAATCCGCATGAGCAAGACCTTGGGAAACATAACAGCCAAGTACAGATGGTTTGCTATATTTTATCTTCTCATCTGCTTCTTTCTTTTGCCTTTGTTTGTATTTGGTCTGTCACTGGCGGGCTGGCCAGTCCTTTTGGGTGTTTGCCTTCCCCTGCTTGCTTTTTGTATTGCTGTGATTGTAATTAACGTTATGCAGTCGAGGAAGCCACATTCACTGCCTGAGAAGCTCCAAAACTGGGATTTCCTGCCCATCTGGATGCACTCCCTTGAGCCCTGGGACAATATGATAATGTCTACGCTCTCCTTTTGTGGGAAACACTGTTGCGGCTTCTGCAAGTGCTGCAAAGTCAATGCAGAACAGGAGGGTGCCAAAGACAAGCAGCTAAAAACTATGGAGGTTTATGAAAACACCATTGCGATGGCTGATGAAGAAAGAGGTATAAGAAGGGCACCACCTGCGGCTTGTGTTGAAAAGACAGGCACAAATAACACAGCCTTATAGTAGTGGATCATCCCGTAATAGCAGAGATACAGCATAGGACAGTAAGGCTCTTGAAAACCAGCTTGGACAATGGGCACTGAGGACAGAGTGAACATTTTGTTAGATTTCAGCAGGCAGTGGTATATCGCTCGCCAAGGCATGGAGTCAAACAAGCTTGACAGAGTCCCCAGAAAATCTAAGATCAGATGAACAGCTAGGGAGAGATTTGCTTATAGCGGATCTGCTATGTGGTACATTCATCCAGTGCTGTCAGTAGCAAACTGAAGAAACCCTACATAGTCCCATGAACAGAGGGGTGAAAGTAGTGAGCAATTCCAACTTAATTAAATACAAAAAACAGACAGAAAAAGCAAACAATGCACTTGTAGAACAGCTTCTCTGACCTATTGGATTATTCAGCAAAAGTCGCTTTATGTTACCCATAAGGCTCTGGAAAAGAAAAAAACGAACAAAAAGAATCCAAATATTTTCATTTGCCTGTTTGCAGTGGTCAAAAAGGAAAATAGTAGTCCCAGTATGGACAGAATCTATTCTCTATGTGTGAAAGAAAAAGAAATGCTGGGACATCCTTCAGAAGCTCTAGGAGTCCTGCTATGGCAGAAGGGTACGCATAAGCCCATTTTGAGCCCTTTCTGTCTCCTTTAACACCAGAGACAGGAGTCTTCATCTTTTGTCTTAAGCTGAAGGCCAAAATGTAATTGCTGATCCCTTTGTCTGCGGAAGGTTACGCACTGGGTTTGCAGACACCAGGTGGCTCCCAAAGGGCTTGGCAGACTCGGGACGTGGTTCTGTGGCCGTTCCTCTCTCTGGATAGTCCTCCCCGATCTGTTCCCTGCGTAACCCCAAAGGACCCGTCATGGCACAGGTAGGGGAATGGTGCAGGAGTGGTGTGCGCAGGTGTGGTTCCATTTCACTGAGCCACAAAATGGCCTTGGAGAGTAGTGGTGGAGACTGGCTTTGGAGCTGCAAAAGAGGGAACCTGGAGAGCAACGTCATGGCGAGCACGGGACCTACGCGGTGACATTTACTGGAGAGAAAGCAGTGTTCACTCTGCACCTTCACTGTATGCTCTGAACCACCCTCCTTTGGGATAATGTGAATTGTACTGGCACTTTTATGTAGCAATCCAAATCGCAAGTGAAAATCTGTAGGTAGTGTGATCATATACAACTTGGTGGGAAGCCGTTTGTGCTCAAATCTTAACTGTTACCGATGTGGTTAGTAAGTGCTTGTTAGACTGCTCTGAATCACAGAATGACAAAACGTGTCATTTCAACATAGAAAAAGAACATTTCAAAGAAGAATATAGTACTTATGCTAACCTTCAATAGCTTAGATATTGGTAAGTATGGGATAATATCTGGGGTCCAGCTACTCCAGGGAAAAAATCAGGTGGTTGAATGTAAGCCAAGTTTCATTTAGAGGCAGTTTACCTGGCTGAGTTGTAGATGAAATTCATAATGGAAATGCTGACAAGACTCTAAGTTTAGTATGGCCACTTAGCGCTGCTAGAAGTGAAGAGCTGTTTGTTTTCTGCAAAGCTCTAGAATTTGGTAGGCAGAATTCAGCTGTCAGGTAAATACGTACATTTTAGAAGTGGAAATTGGTTCGTTTACCTTTTTAAACTGGCATTTAAACCGGCAAACTAAGTTGCCTAAAATCTGTTGGTAAATTGCATTCGTACTGAGATTCTGACTTTTTCTATAGTTACGAGCCAGTGACAAAATGCTTTAGAACCCGAGTGAAGCTCCAAAAGCATTTGGTTTTGGTGTAGTTCTGCTCTCCTGGGGTTTCATAGCAGAGAGCAGAGTTACACCAAACAGTTCTTTTTAAAAATATTTTCCATTTCCTTTTCCTTCATGTAGTTCAAACGGAATTTTGTCAGTCTGATTTTTAAAGTGGAATTTTATTTTCTTCAATAATTGTTCTTAGTTTTATTCTTACAGTTCTGGATGCTGTCACGGTCTGTGTTTCTTTAAATGCCTGCGTGCATTTCCTAGGCTCTATTTCTTCAGACGTGAGAAAAATACCCAGAATTCTGTCACAGTTATCTCATATTTCCATTGACCACCAATGAAACAGGGCATATTTTCACTTACTTTCCGTCATTTCTTAGACAACTTGTGCATTATTTTGCATCTTGAAGTAAAGCCATCAAGCACAGTGATGATAACCTCCAGCAAAACATCAGAGGAAAAGCAAGTCTGGCAAAAGAATAAGGACAGTAATTATATTCAGACATGTCAGTACTTTGTCGTTCCTCACTGTAACATTTCCCCTATGCTGTATTCAGTTCTTGCTCTCCTCTCTGCCTGCTTATGAACTGCAGGCCATATTGTGCTATTGTTTTAGGCAGAATCCAACACGGGCTTCTGTTTAACACTTGATAGCACAACATGTCCTAGTGTACTTTCCCCCATACTCTTAAATATATTCACCTTATTTATAATTATTTGAGTGTACAGATTTTTTCATAAGTTATACAGAAAAAAAGGCTCATGTGATTGTTATATATTACATATTTGAAAACTATGCAATGTTTATCTATAAAAATGTAAAAAGAAAGTACTGTATATTTTGTAACATATCTTTTAAAATTGTTTGTAACTGTGTATACTGCATATTATGGAGGGTATTGGCTCCATGGATAGGTTACATAAAGATTTGTGAGTAATGTAGGAACAGATTTCTTAAAATAAAATGAAAAGCACCTACATACTTTCATAATATGGCTTAATGCACAAGGATATTGATCTCTACTTTTCTAACAAGATTTCAGTTTTCTGTAATGAGGAATTTTGGAAATACAAGGTTTCTAAAAATGCTTTTTAAAAATTCTGAAACAGTATATCTTTTAACTGTTTTGAGGACAGTATATGGCTTTCTCCTTTGTCATGAATACTCATCTTGTCTGTCCTCAGGCACTGAATGTAAAAATAAAGAGAAGTTTTAAAAAAATATGATTTTTCACAATATCTATTTATTTATGAAACATGGCAGATGCTTGTAGAAAAATAAGCGTGCAGACAACTTCTGTTCTGAGGTGATACAATGTAAAGGAAATAAGGATAGTATTAACCACTGAAGAAAACCATCTGAAACCTGTGTGTCCAACAGAGATTTTTGTAGGGGGAAAAAAAAAAGGGACTTGCTGTTAGGCCTCAGTGCAATTGTATGGGTCAGCACATTTTCTGGCAGCCTGTCCTCAGGGAAGTAAGCACAGCAGAGCAAGCAAAGGTTGCCGTAACAGCTGGATATGTGGTATTATAGCAAATGAAATGTATCACTGTGCCAGGCTCGGATTCTCCTTTCTGTGGGAAAGATGGCAAACAAGACCAGAATGGTTCCAAAGTGTTTCTTATATCTCATGATGTAAATCACATCTGACTTATAATGGGGCAAAAACAGCCATTTTGCTCTTGTTTGACTGAATGTGATCTATGGGGCTTAAAATAAAAGGGACTGAGAGAAATAAAAAATAGAAAAGTAGTCCTTAAATGCCTTTAAGATTATTGAAAGCTATTGTTAGACTGCCTAACCCTAAGATGAACAGTAGCTGAGGAACCTAACCCCTGAAGCAACTATCATTCCAAACTACACCTTATTTTAGCGAGATGAAGATAACAGAAATATTTCTTATAACGCAAATATTTATGCAATACAGTATAAACTGTCTTCTTCCCAAAAATGTAAGCAGAAAGCACCTTAGGCCCATGATTTAAAACTTACGGCTCCTGACACTCATGCAGAAATATGTCAGATCTGTGTGCCATCACCTTTCGTGACTCACTGTCCCTCGTGAATCAAAGCACATCCAGGAAAACACGCACAGATAGTGCCATGTGTCTCTCAATTTCCAAATCCTTCCAAGGGCTACCTAGGGCAAAGTTCAGCAATGCCTATATGCACTTAGCAACAGGTATGTGCAAAGTGCTGTACTGATCAGCACTTTAAAACTTTCAAAAAAATGCTTCAGCTGATTGCCTAACTGCTCCACCCCCTTTTTTTCTTTTCCCCTTGAATCTGCCATCAGTCTTGTTCATATAAGCTTATGGCTTAACCATGCTGTTCACAGCTCCTTTTGGAGCTGCTGGGTTTTTTTGTCCTCCTCTGAAGTTTCCCATTCACTTCCCTCAGGTCCAAACTCTTGATAATGCCACATTTAAGCTACATTAGTCCTACCACTATCAAGAATTATTATTAAACAGAAATGTTGATTAAATACTTCATTGTTTCTTACTTTAGCTACATGGAGCGGGGGGCACTGGGCCAGGTGCCCAAGACGACCAGCAGCCATGCCCTTGAGAAAGGCTATCCTCTGATTTACAGGTTGAATCTTCTCCACAGCAAATTACCAGAATGCACTTGCTTCATGTTGTGATTCCTGAGTCCAAACCAGGTGGTTCAGACGTTGATCCTAGGCACTAGTGGCTGGGGGAAGTGCTCATCATACTTCCCTGAAAAATGCAACCATGAATGGATATGACAAGACAAAAATGCCATATTGGCCCAAACTATTTTTATGCTTTAACGCTCAGTGCAGCTGAGATAGACACCGTTGCTAGATGGCTGAAGACAGCACGTTAGTGGCTCCAACAGCCATGAAAACCCCAAGGAGTCACAAAGGGCTACAGGCTTTCCCACCTGCCCCAGCAAGGCTGTGAGACCCATCGAGTGCACGACGAGCTGCTGCAGCCCTCACAGGCAGGGGAGGGGCTCTCTGTGGCACCCTGAAGCCTGCCAAAAGACCATGTGGTGGGTCAGGAACCACTCCTCAAAGAAAAGCAGCTCGTTCAAACACAGTCCATCAGGAAAAGAAGTGAGAATAGTAGAAGGAAAAGTACACTGGAAAGGACACTATAGTCCCCTTCTTCCCCAGTCCCTTCCATTAGCTCCATGTTGTTCATGGTGATGTAAATAAACATGGAGAGTCAATTACAGTAATAAATGGACTTCTTTCCTTCTCTGGCTTTTTAAGAAGCCGCTCCTCTTCCTCAGGCAGCGTACTTGTCTTTTCCAGATGAGAGTACTAAAGCTTACCGTACCTACGCCTAAATATGACAACAACAAAAAGGATT